TAGTTGCATGATTAAAATGGTTCAGGACCACAGAAATTATATTTAATAGCCTCTTTAGTTTTTTTTTTTTACTTTCTAATGTTTGTTTCACATGTATGGCAACATGGTGGCAAATCAGAGTTTTCTCAGAAAAAGATTCAAGCTGTGAAATAAAATAAATTGAATTTGTAACTTATATTAAATTTAATATTTTTGAGTAGAAGTTTCGTAATCAATAAGTTGGGACAAGAAACTAAATAAAAATCGCATCTTGGGAGGTTTCCAAGAGTTTTATTGCATTTCAAATATTTTTGACAACTAGGTTTACATGTTGTCCCAGGAAATGTATGACACAACAAACGTCAAACGTGTGTTTTAGTAATGTGTGCATGGATTATTTTTTAAATATTTTTAATACATTTTCATGGGTGGAAGAAAAAAAAAAATAGTCCTGCAATGGTAACGTGGCCCTCTTACCTTTCCGGCCCGTTTAGTGACCTCTATGCAATAATCCATGCACTCCTGCCACGGATCACTCATGCTGATAAAGGGGAGATGAGGCGATATTCAGAACGGAAATACGGACGGAAGAAAGCTGTAGGAAGAAGCACAACTTTCGTCATTTACAATAGCAAGGTGCAATTATATACCGGCATATGACGGTACGTTGCAATTACCGACATATGACGTGAGTTAGCTGCTGGAAAGCTAGCTGCGTTAATTTGAAGAAGCAATGAAATCTGTCAAATAGCATAAATTAGCCCTCTATGCTAGCTTTTAAAGGGAGAAAAAGGGATATGTACACTGGAGGTAACACTGATGATACCTAATGACAAACATACGCTTAACAGCTTTTCTACAACGCAATATCATTACATTGATTTGTGTTTGTAAAAAAGATATAGTAGCATACCAGTTCCGGGAGCTAATTTAACGTACTTCTAGAGATGAATGACTTCCAAGCAATGACATTTCGCCACTGAAAGGTGGGGCTAAGCCGAACTCTCAGCCTAATTGGTCAATCTGCGCCGTTTGATTTAACAATCTTCGCTATCATTGGCTAGAAGGCTGTCATGTGTTTTCTTCAGTCGCGTTGTTACAGGAAACAGTGGGTCTGCTGGAGAAAGGAAAATGTCTTTGCGAGTACCCAACTTTCTAACTTGAACAAAAGAGGCAGAAATAATGGCTGAAATTTGCGATTTTAGATTCAGAAGACAAAGAAAACTTATCAAACTGACAAAAAAGTAAAATAAATATTAACTGTAAATAAGTACAATTCCCCAGACTGACCTCGCCGGCTTAAAAAGTATAAAGGCAATGAAGCACTGCAAACAAGGCATAACGAATACTTGCTAAATCTGAAGAACACAGTTCAAGGTGCTTTTGCTTTCACGCGAAATAAAACTCACTATGCAAAATGACAGAAATCAGTTGAAATAGTGTCATTTCACTCCAAATTGATGTGAGATCATATTTCTTACACCCAGCTTCATTTTCTATTTATGTATTTTTAATGGAGGTAAACCGATTCAGAATGCTTTATTGTGATTATGGAGTCACATAGCAAAATTCTTTGCACTACTTCTCAACTTAAATCAGACAGCATTTACAACACACAAACATACAATAAATAATATCACATAATAGGGAAACAGTATATGCAATATTAATGTAAGGCTAGGTCAGGTCAGCTGTGATGTGAATGTTCAGGAACTTAGTGTTGTTCGCCTGTTCCACCTCCTGCCTGTGTCTGAGGACAGACAGGAGCATGTTGTCTCTTTCCGGACACAACATGTGTCTGTAATGACCTCCTTAGTCTTGCTGGTGTTTGGGAACAGGTTGTCTGAACACCATTTGGTCAGGTGCTGGACCTAGATCTTTGGAAATATCTGCGAAATACATTAAAGCAGAAAATTTGACTATACTACTATTCTGAAAGTCTGACGTGGTGTTACACTCTTAGTATCGATCACAGCCAATAAATATTTAGCGCCCTTTTAGGCCAGAAGGTGGCAGCAGCAACACTCTAAGTGACGCAGCAAGCAGCAAGAGCACTTTCTCTCATGAGGAAAGGTAAACTCCTCAAACATTAAGGGTTTTTTTTTTTTCAATTGTTTGTTGTTGTTGTTTTTTTGTTTTTCAGCTGCATGCAAATTCTAATTGTGAATTACATTTAATGGTCCACATCAGATTCTGTTTAGTCTGGCCTGAAAAGCTTAAGGTGAACATCTGCATGCAATTCCTCTCATTCAAACTTGAGAAACAGCTTTACTTATCCAAAACAATTGGCAGCCTCATACATCCAAGGAAATGCCTGCTTATCTGCATCTCACAAAGTTTTGTAACTATGCTTGCAGTAGCCGCCTTGTTAAAGCGCTTTCGGAAGTCCAGGGTGTGCGTCTTGAGTCTCGGTTTCACACACAAAGAGAGAAGAAGAAGAGCATACTTAATAGGACATCCCGTAGGTCCGCTGCTGAAGAGAGCAGCAAACACAGATCAAATTAGACTTCAGCGTCATGCTTGGTGACACTTCATCTCGACACAGGTTAACACTTCAACCCTTGCACCCTGTCAGCCAGTAAATTACTCAGCTGATAATGTCTCCTTATAGCACTGGTTCCTCTCTAGCCCACAGCTAATTTCCATACACTAACTCACATTCTCAGATAGGAGCGCCTTACCTCAAGAGGGCAAGAAATTGCCAAATAATACCGTCCTCATTGGGGGGAGTGGAATGCAGTGAGAATACAAATTGTGGTCTCTTGAGCTATCGCTAGACTGACTGTCTGCATGCAAATAACTGTTACCGACATATTTCTGTGAGTTGTTACAGAATCTACAACCCACATCAAGTTGATGAGAGCGCAGTTTTAAAATGTTAATTCTTCCAAAACATGGCATAAAATATGGTAATTTAATCAACTTTCTATATCTATGTAAGAGATTTTGGATTATTCTGCTTTGTATTCTGTTTTAAATGCAGCACAGAAGGAAGTAGTCTGTATTTAATAATATTTATTTTTGGTCTGCTTTTATTTTAGCAAGCTTCAAGAAATATTGGCACATTTGATGTAGGAATGGAATTAGTGCTTGCTCTTTATCTGCAGCTTTCACAGCTCACAGCTCTTACTTTAACATCTGGATTAGGTTTAGGCCTTGTTTAGCATCATTTTCTCAGCATTTGTCTTTCTTTGGATCATTAAGCTCAAGCAGTCACGTGCAGAGTGCCAACAGTGCAATTAGCTCAAGAGGCACAAGGGCACAACCTCATTCATACTGTCTTAAAGCTTTAACCTTAAGTGACCCTTTCCTCAGAAATTGAAAATCATCATTTTCTTAAAGCAGTTAATGTGAATGTCTGGCAACAGTTAGGGATGCATTATACTTTCCAGCTCTCTACATATTTTCTGTGGATGCTGCATATATTAACGTTAAATAGAATCAGTGTGTGTCACTGTTGGAAGTTCTCACATCGTTCGGTGTACAAGACAAGAAGTTTGCCATTAAGACTGTTCATGTATTTGACAATATTAATAGCAAACAGGTCATTTAAAAATCAGTGAAACAATGTTGTAACAAGCTGAAAGTCAGTTTTTGATATGACCACCTTTATTCTTCGAAACAGCCTTTCTCTTCTAGGCAAGCTATTTTGTAATTTCTTTAAATAGTATTCAGGAATATTTCTGCAGTTTCTTTTGTTCTTTTCCATGATTCAGTAATGTTGACACTGGGACTCTGGGGAGGCCAATCCATCACTTCTACCCAGATACGCTTTTACTGCACTGGCAGTGTGTTTGGGACCATTGTCATGGTGTCACTGGGACCATTTCTGATGAGCCTTCAGCAGAAAGGCCAGATGCATCTCTCGAGTCATGCGTTAGGTCTTTGCTGGGTTTTTTCTTATTTCTTAAGAGTACGACTTACAGATAGTGTTTATCTACTGTAAATGGTTTTTAGGCCTGAAATCTCTTCTTTTGTCTTCCACTTGTTCACTTTCCTCAATTTTTTAAGCACACACTGAGAAAACCATGCAAAGATGAGCCAAGTTTTCTGCTAGTAGCTCTTTGGGGCTCGCAATACTGATGCAAAAATACTACTTTATGCCTCCACTATGGCGTTTATTTGTATATCCAACTTAAAAAAAAGCTGCACATAACACAGTGCCTAAAGATAAATTTTAAATGGGATGTTTGCGGGCACCTTTCACGTTAGGTACCTTTTTCGTGCTTGAATAACTCATGGTTCAGTGTTAATTGGCTTAAAAAAAACTTTAAAAGGACTGGACTGAAAATTAAAAAGCAACCAATGTCCAAAGAAGAACTTAAGATCCTTCAGAAATTCTGTAGAACTATGGCTACACTTTAGAAAAAAAATACATTAAAGTTTGGGTTCCTGGAAGAAAAATATAAAGTAATGGGTGATGGCTCAAGACTTTTACACCATGTATTTATGGTTTTAATATTAACTATGTCACTTTGGCTAACAGTATGGGAACAGAAGTGAAATGTATCAGTTCCTCAAATAAAACTGGAACAATGGTTCCAAACTTAAATGGGTACAACAGTAACTTGGGCTAGTTTGGGCTCATGATGACAGTCATGTTCGTGTTTAGCTGGTGGAATTTTCCAGTTAGCAAAAAAACCGCAAAGTAAGTAAATGAAAAAACCTGGACACTGCAGCATATTTCATGTCAGTCCATCCAAGTAGCTGGCAAGTGAAGTGGCAGATGTCTGACTCATAAAGGTAAAGTCGGGGAATAGTTGTTGAGATATTTCAGTCTGGAGTAAAGTGGGTGTTACTGCCAGAAATGGAAAACTAACCACATACTTTACATTCCTTCTTCAGTCAGACCAAGAGGCCTAATAAAAACTGTAAAGTACTCAAACTGTAAGCATCATGAATCAGTAACAAAACCAGGCAATAAAGTTATGTTACATTCATAAAAGTAGCAGCATTGCAACAAACTTAAACAGTATTTTATCCTTAGGTTCTGCATGATTTATTCGTTTAATTTTTTTAGTAGTAAACTGCAAAACTGTTACATTGCAGTAGATTTTCACTATTTGCAATGTTCCCATGTTTCATAACTGTTGCACTATCCAGTGAGACGCGTCAGATGTTTATGTTGCAATAAAATCATGTTACACCCCATAGACATCTAACTACACACTCATGAGAGATCAAAGTTTCCGAAAATTAATAAAGCTTCTTATTCTGTATCTGTTTGCCAGAAAAGTTTCACCCATCTGGCTATTTGACAGTTATTTTCACTTCTTACGTCAGGCTTATTTTGATAAAAGCTTATTTAAACCCTTACAACTAAGTTCACATATGTCCAATGACATAAACAGCAACATATTTTGCCCTCTAGCTCAGGGGAGCCATGCCACAGAGAACACTGCGCTCTGTGTTTATTAAGATTCCTAACGCCACTATAATAAGAGTCATGTGGATCTACTCTTCACAAGAGGAGCCTGGAAGGAAAAAAAACACATGCACATCTCTATTTTTTTTTTTTTTAAAGGGTTCTCAATTGTAGATGGGATGTGCTGCCGACCCATTAAGACCAGGCTTTTGAGCATGTTGTGGAAAGAGGATACATTCTGACTCCAGTTGGCAAAAATCCGACCGGAGCCAACCAACAGCATCACAGCCATGGAGCCATTTGTTGCAGTTTGAATTTATGCAATGAAAGAAGTAAGTGAGCATGTCTACACTTTTTCATTTTTATTCACACAAGGTTTTAAGATTGTCGCTACAGCCTGTAGGTGATGATCTTACTGTGTGTGATATTTAAATATATAGATTTAGAGTTGCCTTAACATGAGCTATCTTGTTTCTTAGAAATTTAACCTATGGTGAGTCAGTGCTTGACTGACTTTTGTCAGTGTGCTGCTCAGTTTGATCCACTGATATAACTGTTGTCTAAGATTTGAGGAAGCTGTTTTGTGCATGACACAATATAATTTACCATAGAACTATTTATGTGAGGTTGATTTGCATCAAAGGTGATATAAGTTATTTATTTATTTATTTATTTTGACTCGTCTATAGGTGGAAAATAAAAATGTATAAACACGAATCTCTACTGAAGAGCACTGAAGCACAGCAAGTTGTCACTGTCACAAAAACATCTGTGTCCTTTGCAATAACCAGCATCATAATTTGTAAGCAATTCTTTCTGATATTCCTACATTTTTTTCTGTCTTCCTTTAAATGTGCTGCTCCGAAATTTGATAGATTACACCCTCTTTTCTTTTATCTGTTTCTCCATTTCAAAGGTTTTATTACGCTTCACTTCTGTCCGAGTCAACTCAGAGCACAGCTCGGGACAACCCCCAACATTAAACACATTGTGGTTGGGAGGTGTTACACTTACACCACACTAGTTAACCCCAGCTTAAGGTAAATGTGGACTCATCTGTTGTCATGTCATAACATTTCCAGTCTTGATTGGGAATCCGTTTGCAGATTTGTCATAAATTCACAACTTATCTGTGATTTGAGTCAAGCCTCAGAGCTTGAAAGATCTGATTTACTCCTAAAGGCCAGAGCAAAAGAGTTTGGGCTGTCATCGACAGCACATTATGAGGCTAGCGCTCAAGTACAAATGAAGGGAAGTTTTGATGTGGCGTTCAATAAATGATGTTTAGTGAGTTCCTTTCTTTTTATCGGTTTGACTTTTCTAGAAAGGATGAAAGAAGCTGAGACAAAGGCCATATACGTGCTTTGCAAAGAAATTTCATGGGAATTTCTAATATGTTTCACTGCCTACTTAAAGTATACAAAAACCAATCGCTATTGACTCTATTCATGGCAGATTTAAAAGGCTGAGGCACATGGATTACACTTTAGCAGTGTAAAGCACTGTTACTGAATTTTTGTTTGCATTTTGTTCATTGTGTAATTTCATAGTGTAACCGTTTACACAGTTAACTAACAAGCAAAACATCCTCGTTTAATCCCAGGAGGAAACACTAATCTAACTGTGGTTGTGTCAGGAAGAACATCTGTGTAAAAATTTCACCAAATCAACAAGGCAGAGCTTCCTGATGAACCCTTGTGAATAAAGGAACAGCCACAGTAACTGCTGGCTCTCCTTCCTTCCTTCTTTTGTTCATTTCAAAAAGAATCCCACATAAGTAATAAAACTTTACATTTAGTTATTCCAAAGGTATGCAGGAGTTGAATGTCAACAAATCATTTAAAATGTACAGGTGAATCCAAATAAGACTCCGTTTCCCCCCAAATCATGACATAGATCCATCAAAGGCTGTTATTTTCATTATTGCTTAATCATACAGTTGTTTGCCATATTAATGCACCCAAGTTTACAAGGAAGGTGCCATTTAGTTCCACTGTATTCAAGAGAAGTCCTACATTTCAGTTCAGTTCAGTTCAACTTTATTTATATATTGCCAAATCACTACAACAATTCGACATGACTTATATTGTAAGGTAAAGACCCTACAACCCTACAGAGAAAACAGAGAAAACCCCAACAACGAGCCTACGTTGGCAACTGTGGGAAGGAAAAACTCCCTTTTAACAGGAGGAAACCTCTGGCTCAACCAGGCTCACAGAGGGGTGGCCATCTGCCACGACCGGTTGGGGGTGAGGGGAGGAAGACTGAACAAAGATCTGTGACAGATATACAGCCAATATCTCTAAAGCTGTGCAGTTCATGCCGAATTCATGTATACTGAAAAAAATAGCACGACAGGCCAATAATAAAAAAGACTTTGACTTTCAGCGAACTGTCCCTTTAAAAGCCACACATCTCAAAAAAAAGCTTAAAGTCATATTCTGTTTTTTATGTGTAGGTATGACTGTGAGGAGATCTGGAGGCAGTTTGAGGAGGCCGTTATCAGTCATTCTTCTTGCAATGTGACCGTCGAGGATTATTTTCACATGTTTAACGCAATGCCACAAATCTGGCCCTGTGATAATGTGAGCTGTGTTGGCATTTTGGTGCCTTATATATACATTTTTTTATTTATATTAATATAATTATGCTACTTTAAAGTCTAGTCTTTTTGTTAACCTGCTTTGTATTTACCTTTTTTTCTTAGTTCCTCTTCTGGAGCAAAACCAGGACACTGATGCACAGCTATGCTGCAGTTTTTCGTCACTTCTGGACACTGGAAGACACGCTGGTTGGCTACATGTTCAACGATCTCATCTGGTGTGGCCAAGAAGAGGATTCTGGTAGATGTTTGTGTTTTGTTTTTTTTGTGTTGTATTGTATTTTTTATTTTGTTTTGTTTCAACAAGAGAGAAATCATTTCCGATTGTGTAATTTAATTATTTTCACGAGAAAAATGATCAGAGACATAAAAGGCTTTGACCTCCCCAAGGTTTGGTGCGGCTGCATTAAATTGGTCCAAGTAAATTGAAAAAAAAATCAAGTAAATACTTGAATTTTACATACATATTAATATTAGAATTTTCTCTCACTATATATTATTGAACAACAATTCATAAAAAGATCATCATACCAATGGTCAAGCTTTGTGGTGGTGGTGTGATGGAGCGAGGCTCCATCCTCTCCATCAGACAATCCTAAAGGAGGATTTCTGGCCATCAGTTGGCACCTGAAAGTTCAATCACATTTGAGTTACGCAACAGCATTAGTCAAACACACCAGCAAAAACCAACAAGCAAAACAAAAAAATACAAGCATTTCATACTGGAAAATCCTCCAATGTGCTGAATTTAAACAATTCTGCAAAGAAGAGTGGACCAAAATTCCTTTATCACAAATGCTTGATTGCAATTCTCGCAATTCATGCAGAGTGTTGTGAAAAGTGCCCCCTTATTCATTTATTATCTGAAACGTAAGTATGACAAATATGCGCATCGGGACCCTTCCTGGCAAAATCTTTTTTAGAGCACTGTGTTTAAGATGGGCAGTGACGGTCAAGATGCTTATCAAAGCTGACTACCCGATCAAAAGCAACATTTCTGGCAGTTAGAAGAACTGAAAGTGAAATTGCATGGGCACAGATAAGAAGGACAGATACTTGGCTGCCATCCACGTCTTTATAACATTAATGCAGTCATAAAGGGCAGCTATATTCTGGGGTTTGAATGACATTTGCAACTGGATATCATCTGTATAAAAAAAGTAGTATGAGATGGCTTCAAAGGTATTGACGATGTGTCCAAGTGAAAGCATAGACAAGGCAAATAAGATGGGCCTGAGGACCTAACCTTTGGGCACACCACAAGATAAAGTGGCAGAAGATGACACAAACTGAAAAGCAGATTCCCACCCAAGTTTTTAGTCTCTCAATCAGGAGACCATGATCAGCTGTGTCAACGGTAGCAAAAGATCCAACAGTACAAAAACAGAATTTTCAACTGCATCATTATGTAATTAAATTTTATTTCAAACTCTAGGAAAAGCTGTTTCTTAGAGCTGTATAAGTAAAGTGCATGTGATGTTAATTAACATGTATCTAAAACATTATGTTTAGTTACAGCCACTCTAAGCTGGTTCTGGAGATAAAAGGCAAATTTATCAATATAAAATTCTGAGCGAGGTGATGGGTCAGGGCTGTGCTTTTTCAAAAGAGGATGAATAACCGCTTGTTCAAAGTCCATGCTATGATGATAGCATCACAAAGTTACTGCACATTTGTCAGCTGCACAGTCATGATGCAAATCTCCCTCTTCACCACAACACAAAGATGCGCTATTGGACTGAAATCTGGTGACTGTGGAGGCCATTTGAGTACAGTGAACTCGTTGTTGAGTCCAAGAAGCCAGTTTGAGATGGTGGCTGCTGGCAGCACGATGGGCAGCATGTGATTGGCTGATTAGATTTGCATTAATGAGCTGAACAGGTGTATGTAATAAAGCAGCCAGAGAGGTGTTGAAGTTGGTAGCTTCAAGGTTTGATTCCCAGTCTCAGCCTCTCCAGACGGTGAATTTGTATTCCCTGCTTTCATAGCCCCTTTATGAAATGTGTCTGGCACCCATATTCCTGTTTAGCTGTTTCACTTTACACTTTTAGATAAACAAAGCTAGCAAACTGCTGGGTGTAGATTCATAATTTCCACACAAGCATAAGAGTGGTATCAAACTCTTGCTTTAAACATCGCTACGTGGATTGAATGATGACAAATTAAGAAAGATTGTTTGCGGGATTCAGCAAAAGCATTATAACTCAGACAGCTGCAGCTGTGTTCCCAAACATTTTGCAGAACTTTTAAGACTTTTCTTATATAACTAGTCTTCTTGCATGTCAACACAGCACATGTCTTTCTTGAATATCTCATATCTCAAGTAATGACACTTGTGAATTTGACACAGGTTTTGATTTCAGCTCTTGTCCGGAGTGGTCGGCCTGTCGAAGTCATCCGGTCTATTCCCTGTGGAGGCAAGCTTCACAAAATGTGAGTTTAATATCCAAACTCTGAAATGGCTCCATCTCTGTTCTGCAAACAGCTGTGTTATTTATCATCTACCTTTCCAAAACCGGTAGTGCTTTATTGCTCTTCTGTGATTTTCCTCATCCATTTGCTAGTTTGCAGAGATGGCGTGTGGCAACATTACTATCTTACTGAATGGATCTATTGTTAATGCCTTCAATAGGAAAAGGTAAGAAATAATGAATAATTCAGTAGGTTGGTGCAGGTTCTGAACTACATATTAAATCAATCTTTTTTCTCATGCAGCATGTTTGGAAGTGTTGAACTGGACAGTCTGGATCCACAAAGGGTGAATTATGTCAACATTAAGGTGGTGACCAGTCTAGACGGACCCCATATGTGAGGATAATAAAAGGATATTCTTGTGTTTTAAAAAAGTAACTACTGATGAGTTCACATTGTCCAAATTCCATTAATTAGCACCTTAACTGCTATGATGATAGAATGACATGTTATAAAGCTTGAAACACTCAGTTACCCATCATTTATGACCTCACTATAGTTCAGTGATCCGAATATATTATCATGCAGTTGTATAACAGCAACACAGTTGAACTTAAATGAGAGAATAACTATTTTTCAGGGCATGACAGCCCAAAAGTTGTCTTTATGTTTGGCAAATAACTGATATGATTTACTGCTTAGGGACATTGTTATCCTTTAAAGCTTGTGAATAGCAACCTATCAGAAAGTTGCAGTGGGCCTGAGAGGTTTGTGTTGTTGTTTTTTTCTTTGACAGAGAGTCATGTAGTCAAGGATCCATTGTAGACCTGATCCAAATCCTCCAATCCAGAGGCTTTCACTGGACCTGTACAGACAATGACCAGTACGTAATGTTCAGTGTTTGGAAGTTTCATGACATCAAAGTTAATTATGAATCTGGAATAGTGGTCTTAGATCAAAGCATCACATCATGTGACAGTTGTTAGTCATCAAGTGTGTTTTACTGCTCCTTTTTTACACAGAGACCAATGCCTTAACAGGAAACACTTTTATGAAACCATCAATCAGTAACAGGTCTTTTTTTCTTCACAGGACCTTGATGATCTTGCAATGCATCCGAAACCCGCAACACTCATCCTGCCAGACCTGTGCAAACACTTTGTTAAACAGAAACGGCCTTACGTCTAATTAAATCACAGACTGCTGTAAAATCTATATCTTTCAAAGTAAATCCAGAGTGCAAAACAAGGAACAATAAATACTGTAAACACTGTCATTCTTAGATAATACAGGCTTCTCAAAAATCTAACTTGAATAAAATGCAGTGTGCATGTGTGTCTTTTGCGTACCCACTACACTTCACTGATCCCCACAAATCTGCAAGCAAAATGCAGCTGAAACAGGTGCTTCTCAACAGTACTGCTGTGACTTCATTAGAAACATTTGTACATTTGTAGAATTAAAAGCTGCGAATTAATCACAGCATTGCTGACTGTGCTCCAGTCCTCGGTCCTCTGAACTGTACTGATCCCATTTAATTAGCAGGGTTAGTGTGCTTTCTGAAGACAAGATTTCCTGTTTTACTGTCAGGGTTGTGTTAATTTAACTGAAAACTAGAGCTCTGTCTTAAAAGAAGACACATGATGATGACCTGTATGTGGCCAGATATTCACAGCATAGAAAAAAAAAGCATATTTGATTTAATTGGGTCCAATAACCTCTTTTTTGACACAGGGTGCCTCAGCATTGTAATCTCAGAAACACCATTCTGTGCATCTATCTTTAAGGGATCACAAAGAAAATATAAAAAGCTATGAAGTTATTGCACTGTTTAATTGTGGTTTCATTATTAGCATTTTGCCTGTGTAGTGTGCTCAGTGTTCATTAAACACCCATTAACATGAGTTTTGTGATTTGTTTTGTTGTGTCACAGGAAGCTGCCAAGGCCATACTTTGTCGTTCATATGAGTATACATCCACAGTTTAACATATAATTGCATTTATCATCACTTTATGTGTGCTCCAAGGTAGAATTTCAGTAGACAATTCATGTCTGCCAATACACCCACAACAGGGATGACAAAGAGGTTTTCTGCATTCTTAAACATTTCCTTTGAATTTCCTTCTTTGTACTCAAAGGTCATTGGCATTTCTCAACATGTTTATAAGTATCACTTATTCTGTGACATCTAAACTAGAGCCCATAACCATCTTACAGCAGATGATTGACATTTAACTGCTGCTATGAACGTCCTTATTAACCTCCCTACCTACTTACACATTTTTGTGCATTTTGAATTAGTTTCACACTGAATGCCCATGCGAGGTTCATCCATTTAGTGCTGCAGCTACCACTGTAAGCAGAGCTTTAATTTAATTGTTCAATAAGGAGGAATGAATACCAACCCCAGCTGCTGTTTAAATCTGTATAGCAAGGCAGATCACATGGTAGTAATTCTAAGCATTTAGGCATGGTGACAGACTAATAGTAGTGGTAGTCTGAGTATTTCAGGAACTCCTGATCCACTGGGAGTTTAACACACAAACACCTCTAGAGATTACACAGAGTGATCGGAAAAACAGAAAATATCAAGATAGCAGCAGTTCTCGGTAATCCATCCTGTCTTGTGTCAACAGTTCAGCCTGCTGGTGGTGTTGCTGTGAGGGATATTTTTTGACAACTTTGTACTAACGCTGTGCAACTTAGTACCGAGCATTGCCTAAACTCCATATGTAAAGGGATGGGCAGCTCAAATAATCTTAAACTGGCTCCTTGAACATGACAGTGAGTTCACTGCACACAAATGGTCTCCACAGTCACCTGAGCTCAGTCTAAAAGGGCACCTGTGGCATGTGGTGAAACAGAAAATTCAAATCATGGAAGTGTGAGATGCTGTCATCACGATCTCAGAGGAATGTTTCCAGCATCTTGTTGAAAGTATGTCATGAAGAACGAGGGCAGTTCTGAATGCAAACAGTTCAAAACCCAGCACAAGCAAGATGTAGCCTAATTGTGCTGTCAGCGTTAATCTCGTTAAAATGACGTTAACGCCATAACCGCATTAACACGTCAAATCTCCTTTAGCAAGTTAACGCAGATCGCATATGCGAGAGCTGCACGACATCAATGCGTTTGTGCCGTGCAGTCCCTCCCACATCTGATGAAATCTCACAAGTGTTAGCTTTATTTTGATACCAAGGATGTTTACACAGAGTTTGTAATTGCAGAGAAATAGTCGATTCGTTTTTGGGCAAGAAGCTCAGAAAGCGCTTTGAGGCTTAACAGGTTAAATAAAGTAGCTTTAGACTTTGGCATTAATTCAGAGAGCACAGAAATAATACCACTAATCAAGGAAGAGATAAAGCTGAGTAAAAAAAATTCATTAAATGTTTTTATGAATGAAATGCTATTTTTGTTGGATTATACCACTACTACTAAACAGTAAATACTCCTGAGATTAGAGAGGGTTTATACTGGAATTTTACTCCTAAATATTTGTGTGTGTAATAATCTTACCAAAACTCTAGAATTGTTCTTGGAATGATTTTGTTGTTTCTTAAAGAGCGTACAGACCCGTAAAGCCTGGATGAATTTGAGATTTTCACAAATAATTTTGTTTTTAGTTGTTTACTACGAGATGACTGAGTGTTTCGTCAAAACCCTCTTTTTGTGTTTATAGTATGCAGATGCTGCCTGTGGTGATGTCACGACAATGCTAAGCGGATCCACTACCAAATGATTTGAGCCTGAAAGGTAGGACTGTTTCTGCTTCTCTAATGCTTTTAGGACTTTTAGTTAGAAACGTTAAGAAATGTATTTTCTTTTAATAATAATTAGAGCCACCAATGTAACACTGGCATATGCGCTAAGTTTTAAACTAAGTTATCGCACGGATTTGCTCTAAACTGTACTTAGTTCTTTTTAATCAATTTTTTTTCCACATTTTTTTCATGACTAGGTGCAAAGAATAACTTTTGTCTCTGCCTTGTCATCGTAGATTATGAAAGTGCTATTAAAAAACAGTTATTATTGTCTTTGTTGCACAAGGTCAAAGGCTGTTGTAAAAAACATGTTCTTGCTCTACAAACCAAGTCAGATTTAAATGTTTCCGTCTCCACTTGGAGTCATTTGATGCTCTCTTTGCTTATGTTGCAGTGCTTCCTGTGGTAATGTGGTAAATTTTCTTTTATATTCCTCACACTAGAGTAAAAGAAGACAGCGTCTAGGAAATAATTACATGGATTGACGGTTGAGAATGCATAGCCCACAACCTCTGAGGGACCAATTTTGATTGAAAGGCAGTTACAAAGGTCACCTGCTGATGGCTGACCTGACTCTAAACAGTCGCAGACTCAGACAGATTGGCAAAGGTTTGCAAATAAGTACCACCTAACTTATGACGGATTCTCACCAAACTGCAGTAAGTCTGTCTCTTTCCAATAGAGGACTCGACTCACCTGTTTGCCCAAGGGTTTTGTTCTGGATTCCTATATAAAAGCAAGGCTGACTGGACTCTGTATGTAAGTAGTTAATGTAAATTTTTTGCTGCTTTGCTGCTTTGAAGATGGCAACTAGCAGGAAGCGGTCACAGACCCGGTCCTCATCTTTAAAGCAATCATTTTAAAAGCACCGAGACTGCAAGATTATTGTAGACAGTCACACACAATACCGTTTGTGGTTTGAATTTTTTATTTGTTTTTTTTTTCTTTTCAGTATTTTTGCAAGCATTGAGGTGACGAGGCTTAAAGCCCCTGGGGTCAGTAGCCTGAATGTTGTTATGGTCTTGAAGAAGAACACCTCTTTTTGCACAAATCTGTCATCACAATGTTGTCCTTTATTTGTTTGATTAAATCAGTGAAGCCAAACGGCACATGAATGTTTTTAAACTGATCCTACATTCACTGCTTCTGTTCCATTTCTGTTTCTAACATCTTCAGATCAGACTGTACAAATGCATCCTAAAGAATTTACAGAATGAGTCAGATCCAAACATAACATACATATGCAAAGTGTCTGAGGGGTTGAGCAATGCAGGTCCCAACCAGAGATAACGTGTGCAGCCTGCTGGTGAACATGTCTGATTATATCAGACACAACACAGTACCACTGAGTATTTTTGTACATGTGAAATATATTTGTCTAATCAACAATTCTAATACTGCTGCTATCTCCTGGTTGGCAGAATATGCAGTATTTTAAAAATAAAATCTTAACATAGAAGGTTGTAAACTTTATTTAGACTCCAAAGTGTAACACTGACTGTTGTGCAATCACACCCTGATCTTGCACCAAGTGCACCATGTCTTTGTTGTTTTCTAGTCATTTTAAAGTCTCAAGGTGTTTTCTGTCCAGCAGGAATAATTTAAAAATGTATGCCGTAATGTGCAGAAGTCTTGAGACTCCCCTCATTTATTAATTTTGGTTCCAAGAAGGGAGAATTTCTCTTTATTTCTTCAGCAATAATTTTCCAGACTTTCTGAAGGCCTGTCAGAGTTTTTCTTTGGACATACTGTGGAACCGCTTACTAACAGTGATGCTTCAAGCATAAAAAAGCCACCTTAAGTCAGGGGATGAGCTGATGTAGACACAACACTGATCAGCAAAGTACCCATAGCAGACTTTCTGAACAACACATAATTTCTTCCCATTTCTTTATATTTTTATATTAAGTCTATAAATTCTAAACATAACACAGTTTAGCTGAAATATAATAGTATTTTTGCACCAACAAGGGGATTCACAAAGCAAACTTGGCACATGTCTGTGGGGTGGGCAATGTGTCCTTAAGAATTTGAGGAACCTGGACAAGTGGAGCACAAAAGAAGACAAAAGAAGTGACATGCTGCATTTCAGCAAGTGATGTTGGGGATCTTGTCAACATTGGGGAAATATTAACACAGAAAATTACCAGCAAACTTTGTGTCTGAATGGTGATAGTTTCATTTTACAGCCTGACAATGATCCAAACACTGATGCATTCATGTAGACATGCCTAGATATAAACAATCTCCTAGCTATGGAATCAGAACGATGCCACCTTGAAACGAAACCGAAAAATGGATTGAAACCGAAAAAAAATATTGTAACTGAAATAAATGTACTGAAAAATCTTGTATTGAAACCGAAAAAAAAATTGATAGTGAAAAACAATTAATTGAAACTGTAATTTTTTTGTTTTCGCTTACAATTTTTTTTTTCGGTTTCAATCCATTTTTCGGTTTCAAACCATTTTTCAGTTTCAATCTGCTGGCACTGTTTTGGCGTCCGGGGGCGCGCTGGGGGGGGGGTTTCCGG